TTTTTATGTGGATTTTAACACATTTTAGTGGATTTTACTGAGAAACGTTCATCAAAATCATGTGCAAGTATACTATGTGCAATTTTCCAAAAGTTTCCAAGGACACTTAAGATTTGAAAGTCATAAAATTTCGGCCTCCATTATCGACCAAACCGTATCTAAAACACCAGACTATCCCCAACTTCTTTCAATAACTAATATCTCAACTTATATTCGAGATAGATACATGTTGTTTTGGGGGTTGTTGTTCGGGTTTTTTCTCATCGAAAGCAAAGCAAACAAACAAGCTACCGATAAATCCATATACAGCCAATGACGAGCGCCTGGTCCCACCACGCCGTGACACATATACCTGTCCCCACATCTTGTACCCTGAAACAAGCGACTTCCTGTGAAGTCTCCGCCCGCTATCCTCATTCTCTTCCTCAAAGCCAAGACATTCTTGTTGTGTGCGTGTGTTTCGTCTATTTAGGTTTTTACGACGCTTTGGACATGTGTTAGGTGCTAAGTGAACACTTTGGTCTCGCAAACCCACAGTGCATCTCGCATAAAATAACCAGGCCATAAAACTCCTCTTCTAGCTTTTCCTTTGGACAACATTAGCATTATTTCAAAGAGAGGGGGTTAAGCGATTTAACCTTAATGCTAGTTCTATTGCCCTGTAAACATAAAGCTTTGAAAAAAAAACCACCATTTTGGTAGCAAGTTTAGGAACATAAAAAGATGTAAACTTGACTTTTTTGGCTGTTAAAGATCTGAAGACAAGCTTATTTTCATCTTGTTTTATTCCTGCTCGTTCCAGCCCCTCAGGCGGGTGGTTGGAAGGTGCTATTGTTAGGTTCTACGTGTACTTCTTGAATACCATTCTGTTGTTATTTTTGTCAGCCCACCTGTTTATTCTCCGCACTAAACAGACATTGTTATGTTGCTAAAGTACATTTCTTTTCAAAAAGGATAAAAGAAATTCCTCCAACCTTTGACACACGCCTAAAACGTTTTGTTTCG